GGAAGGAAGGAAGGAAGGAAGGAAGGAAGGAAGGAAGGAAGGAAGGAGCAAGCAAAGATATTTTAGGAAACTGAGTCCACTTTGACATGGAGGAGTCCTAAGGAACATTATTTGGAAGGAGATATTACTACCTGTCATGCAATGTATATTTTTACAGGGGTGGAGGATTTGTTAAAATTATCTGACTAAATTGCTAGATGAATCTAGATTATATCTGAATTTGATTGGATAATTTTATACATTGTATTCATACAGAACAGCTTTGTTTTTCCATATTATGTGGGATATTCACCAGGAGCTGAAACAGTTGGTGGCTCATGAAAAATCTGCATTTTTCTTTGAAAACAAAATCAGAGCCATCAATTGTAAGCCAATTTCAAATAATCCATCTGGGAAAGATAATCAATCACATAGTTCCAGTGTCAGGTCCGTGTATCTGTCATTTCTTCAGTGGAAGAAGGGGGAGGAGGAGACTGATGAAGAAATCCTTTCTTGATGTAATCTGAATATATTTAAGCTTATATCAAATTTGTATAACCCACACGATACAATGGAGGGAGAAAACCCAGATGGCTGGAACCTATCACCTTTGAGAGGCACAGCCAGATGAGATCATAAAAATTCCAGTGAGATGTGTCCTGGGAATCTCTGGAAAAGTTCGTTCTAAAAAGGGGGTGGGGGAAAATTAGGTATGCCCTGGGAAACTGTGAAAAAGATCATTTCTACAAAAGGGGTGGGGGGGAATTAATATACTGGCTGTTTCACTAAATACACATTGAGATAAGGGGAGGGGTTCTAAACTCCCTTATCTATCCCTGTATTCCTGAGGGACCTCAGACGCTGCTTTGAACTCCTACATGAATTGTTTCATCTCAATAAAGGATTCCTTTTGATACGTTTGGTTTTCAGAAGTTCATTCTTGTTAATTGAATGGGAAAAAGTTCTGTGGCCTGACATCCAGGGTTATGTGCATAATGTTTAAAAGCTAATTTCATTTGCACTTTTGGTAATAGTCATTGTTTTAAACATCTTGGCAGAAACCTACCTCTCTGGATGGGGAGGATGGCGGTGGAGTAACCCTGATATTTTTCTAAACTTTTGCTTACTTTCAGTACCATTATTGGATTTTTTTTTCCTATTTCAATCTGGTTTTGATATTTTACAACATTCATTGAATCTTGAACACATCTCAAGAGTTGTTTTTGTTCTTGGCATCTTTGTCTCAGTTCATTCAGTCACGTTCAGTACATGTCACCAAAGAAAAATATGCACAAGTAACACAGAACTGTACAAGTGATGTTACAACTTCTACAATTCTGTTACTTCTGATGTTACATTTTTGGCATATACTGAAAAAGAAAATTAACATATTGTTGAGAAACAGATGACGAAGGCAAGACAAAGCTGAACTCTTATTTGAATTCCATCTTTTCCAACAAAGTTGCTTCCAGGAAAACTTGCAAAAACAAGATGAAGGGTTAGGATTGAAACTCAAGAAGCCAGAAACATGGTCAGGTGATACTTTTATTTCTTACTTAATTTAAATCTCTAGGAATAGATAAATGGGGTGAATGAGCTATCCAATCACATTTATTATCTTTTGAGAAATCTTGCAGATGCCAGCTGGATGACTTTGGGCCAATCACTCCCTTCCAACCCTAGGAAAACAGCAATGGAAATCCACTTTTGAAAAATCTTTCCAAGAAACTGCATAAAATGAGTTGAATGCAAAAGCCCACTTTCCTTAAATTATGGGAATGATGAAGATGTAATACATTATCTTCAGCAAAGCTGAATCCCCCATGATATGCTAATTAGCAAATTAGGTATAGGTGCATGACAACTGAATATATTAGAGTTCATTCAAAAGCATATTCAAGAGTGCTCATCAGTGATTCTACATCTAATTAGAGAACTATTGAATTGAGTGCCGTAAGAGTCAATTCTGGGTCCTGTATGCTACAATTATTTTATTAAAAATATGGATGAAGAGTAAATACTTATGAAATTTTCAATTATCAAAAATTTGGGAGAAACAGCTACCGTGTTTCTCATATAATAAGGCCGGGTCTTATTTTTTTTTGAGCCCCGAAAAAATGGCTAGGCCGTATTTTCGGGGGTGACTTAATTTCCTCCCCCCCCCCCCCCCCCCTCTTAGGGGGGGGGGGGGGGGGTGGGGTTTGTCCCCCGGGGTGGGGGGGGGCCCTTTGATCAGGGTCAACGCAGGCAGCACCATATCCGGGTGTGCAACAAAAGTACTTCCTAACAGCAAGCCCCCCTGCCATTTCCCCCCCATTTCGCATGTTTTAATATAGGCTTTAATTTGGGGGGAGGGGCTTAATTTCATTTCATGCCTATAAAACATGCTGGGACTTCCTATTGGGGGAGGCCGTATTGTTGGAGAAACAGGGTAGTAGCTTATAAAGAATATTCAAAATTATTCTGATTGATAAGTACAAGTGACAGAAAATTTGAGGCAAACAAAGAAAGCAAAATTAAACGCACAGGTAGATGTGGGATATCAATCTTCATGTTATTTCTCAAAAAGCTCTAAGAATTCAAGTATTAACTATGTCCAATCCTGCTTAAGTGTGCTTGCACTTACCCCTGCCCAAAATCATTACATAATTCATATTAATTTTATATGTTTTGCTAGTTATTGCCATGTTTTTATTATCTGTGATTGCAAAAATATTTCAAATGTATTTTACTAAATTAGACCAATGCTATTATTTAGCTCATTGGGGCTGGTTTACCAAAATGAAGAGAACTTAAATATAGTGCTGCTTTCAATTTTAATTTTGGGAAAACATTAATTTTCTGTGGATAAAAATTCAATTATATCTACTTTTCTATAACTGTGGAATTGTGCAATTTTAATACAGTATCAAAAAATCAATCAATCAGCAATCTAGTGACAAAAATGGAAAGCAAGCCAACATTTTAGAAATTATTCCATTTTATCATTTAAGAAAAGGCCAGACAAATTTGCAGGAATAAATTATTTATTTTTATGTACTTATTCCAATGTTGAAACAAAAGTATTTCCAAAGTGATAGGGAACCATTGTGGAATTAATCTGCTGCCCAGAACCTTAAATGCAACACTCTTTCTAAGAAATGTGCAAGACAGAAGCAGAATTAATGAAGTGTGCAGTTATTCTGAACAGAATAATTTTGTTCTGTGGTAGGTTAGAACAAAATAGTTCTTTATCAAATCTGATTCCACAAAAATTACATCCAAAATTTCAGCAGATGGTAACATCTTCAGTGTCAGATTCTGATCTTTCTCTCTCTTACTGCATCAACCATCAAGTTATCACACCTTATTGTTAGGAAGTTCCTCAAGGTAACCATTCTACATGAGTTTTATTTGTTGGTAGTTGTGCAAAGGAATCTGCAAAACTACATAGGTGATAATCACTTTCTCCACCATGGTAGTGATTTTACTCTAAATTCCTTAAATTACTCTATGTTTGTCTTTAACTTAATATGAAACCCAAGAATATGCAATATATTAATCATATGACTTCAGTATAACAGCAGAAGGTTAAGTGTGAGTCTTTCTTTTCAGAGCAAAGATAGATGACAATCTTTCTGGACATACATTATTCATTTCTCTCTTTTGGGACTGGTGGCCATATAGAGAGCTATCAGACAGTAGATGGCCCCTCCTATTGTTAATGCCATAGTGGTCCGGTAAAGAAGTCGATCGGGAACACTTCGTTTCAGATGTACTGGAATATTATCAGGTCTCTATCAACAAAAGAAATACATACGAGGTAATATAGTGGGGAAATTAATATTAATGCAAAACCTGAGGAAAAAGTTAAATTGGAACCTTACAATTATTTTCAAATAAAATGTTCTAGTTCAGGGGTCGCCAACCTTTTGGACCTCAGGGACCACCAAACTCATAATTTTAGATCCCAGGGTCCGCTAACCGGTTCTGTGGGCGTGGCCTAATTTGTGGGCATGGCTTAGTGGTCATGTGACTGGCTGGGCATGGCTTGTTTGTAAATATTATAAATATTTATATAAATATTGAATTTTTTATAAAAAAGAGCAACCCAAAATCAGGCAAAGCAGGCAGGTAGATTGAGTTGCTCACAGAATCACAGATTCATTCAGAAATCTATCTATCTGCCATTGGCTAGCTCAATCTGTCACATAAAATTTGCTTGCAAGCAAACTCATAACATTTACTAGCAAGCAAACTCACAAAATGAACTCACAATACACCATGTATGTAAATATTGTTTTTATAAAAAAAGCAATTTTTACCCAAAATCAGGCAAAGCAGGCAGATTGAGTTGCTCACAGATCCATTCAGAGATCTATCTATCTGCCACCAGCTAGCTCAATCTCTCAAATTTGCTTGCCGTGAGTCTGCACTGAATTTGCTTGCAAGAAAACCTTCAGTCCTATGGGAAGCAGAGCCAAAGATCTAAAGAGTAGCTAGAAAGCAAGAAATCCAACCATTTTCTGCTTCCTAGCTAATCTAAATCTCCCAGCACAGCAGAACAGATGATGGTCGGAAAAAGGAAAAATAGCAATTTTAGAAGGCAAGTTTGCCGGGTAAGGAATGAGTGGGCGGGGAGCGTTCCTGCGGGCCATGTGGGTGGTGCAGCCTTGTGTTTCGCAGCTTGGATTAATTGCTTTGGGGTGGTGCTCTGGGGGTGAGATGTCTCTGCAACCCACCAAAATTTTCTCAAGGCCCACCAGTGGGTCTCAGCCCACCGGTTGGCAACCACTGTTCTAGTTATCTATTAAAAATGTCATACATTTTACATAAATTTCAGAATCCTGAGAAATCTATGTCATTTAAATATATGCAACTTACAAAACATATGCAAATATATATAACTTTCTGGATTAATTAGTATGAGTATTTTTTTGATAACTACCTGGCTCCTTGTTCCATGATTTTTCACATTAAGAAAAAGTTGCTATCCAAAATATAAGCTCCAGTGCTATTTTCAAGAATGACTGCAAGGCCCAAATGGGCAATTACTTACAAAAATTAAAATGATTGCCAGATATAATCCCACCAAGGACAATGTGGCAAAGATGTTAACCTGGATCTGTATTATTCAAAATTAAAACATGACAAGCAAGACCAAAGAAGCAAAAAAAATGCATCATTTGCATAAAAATATATTGTTAGGAATGCTGCTATTATAGAAATAGGATCCATACTTTCTAAGTATAATTGTGTATGTCCTGTGTTTTTCATTAAACATACAGACTTGAATATAGTGCAAAAACAGAGGTGCTAACTTGTAAATATGACAGGCAGAGCTGAAATATATCAAGCACATTAATAGAATGCTTACAGATTTTTGTTTAAAAAAATCTCACCTGAAATAATTTCTGCAGTTCTGGTACTTTGTTCTTAACCAAACCCCCAACTTTGTTTTGTGAGTCTGGGGCAACTTTAATTGGGGTATCAAATATCACAGCTGGAGACTCCACAGATACTACTGGCTTGAATCCCTAAATAAACAATTTATGGAATTGAAAACATCAATTAGCAATCAAGAAAAGAAAAAATACATCTGATTTGACCTGGAACGAAAAATTTATAGATTGTGGATTTTCCTATATTTTATGAGCTGCTTGGAGCCTGGTGAATAAGAGGTTAGGAAAGTTGTACTACTCCAGAAACACTGACAAAATACATATTTAGAGCACAATTAGTTAGGCAGCCCAAATATTTTTTTAACATAGAGAAGGGACTTTTTTCAATTGATGTTAAAATGGTAGCCACAATAATGTGACTGAAGCCCTGCCCTTCTGCATGCATGACTGTGGCCATCACCTTGATTTATCTGACCATCTTGAAAATATCCCTGACTTTTGCAGTGTTTTGTGTACCCATCAGTTGTTATGAAACAAAAAAACTCAGACATTCATTACTTCAGTTCATATAGTACCTTCAGAATTTCTGGCTTGAGAATAAATTTGAATAGTGGGAAAGAAATAACAAGACGGTACTGCTGCTTAGTAGGATAAACTGAAAAGCTGGGGAATGCTTAATTGTGGCTGTATACTTGCCCCTTCTTGTCCTTTCCAGAGTGGTTCAATGCGATAATAAACCCATTTTGCTCAGTTATCTTAAGATATCTATTAACGGTAGCAGTCTTAAAATAAGCATGGAAGCTGGCTTTTATACTGATGAGAGAAAATAGAGATAACAAGTTTCATTCTAAACCAGCAATCCATTTACCTTCATTCCTGAGGAATTTTGATCACATTTATGAGCATTCCTGAACAAACACTAATTATGGGTTGAACACCCATAATTCCCTTCAGAATGCAATGTATCTTTATGCATTCAAATACTGCCAGTGAAGACTCAGAATATAAATGATTCTGAAAAGCTTTACTTCCCCCCATGGCAATTTGTAATTCATAACTGAATTTAATAAGGCTACAGTGAAGTAAATTATGGAGCACAACTACAATCACCTTTATACTGATTCTCTAGTTTATTATTCCAGACAGCAAGTGTGAACACAATGTGCTGAGAATTAAATTTGCATTTTAACAAGGTTAATAAGTGTATACTTGAAATTAATGCCTACTAATTGCTTTTTGTTAGTTCATCAAACTGTCTGCCAATCAAAAACACTTTTTAAAAAGCGAATGGTGCATTTAGTGTAATTATATTTATCAAGACATGCAATAGAATCCCAGCTAGATAAAAATTAACAAGAGATCTGTATCTGTAAACTTACTTAGTTCAAATTGTTTTTTGAGGACAATTTCTGACCTTGATTTATATTAGGACACCTGATATTTCCTTAATATTTAGAAACTGTTGTATACAAGCTTGGTCTCTTTTTCATGATTAGAAAATTGCTGTGAACTAGGACACAGTTAATACCATTTAAAAGAACTAGCTGCTAAAGGAAGGAACATTCAAAAATACTAATCTTTATTAATATTATTTTTATGATTATTCAAGATAGGAAGAACAGATTACTATTTAGACTCCTGTAGCTCCATTATAAAATTAGATGCTCAAACATATTTATTGGACTATGTAATTAGCTTGATAGCTATTTACTTAGCTCATTGACTTGTTACCATTTTGAGTATTTTACTTTGCTGCACAGAATCTATATGCTGTTCATGGACATGTATCTCAGTTCAATCATTAATTTTAAACCATCAAGTAACAAAGTAATTTGAAAAACATGCGTAAGAATAAGAGAGGAGCATGCATCCTCTTTACTGTTCTCCTCATGGTGGAAATAAAGAAACATGAACTATGAAATAAACAATGATGAACATATTCCCATGTCATTCAAACCATATTCAGAACAAGCCAGGTTATAAAGTCAGCTTTAGCTATGCCTCAATGTCCTGTCTTATTCCGAAGTTGTCCACTTTATATGGAATAGGAAACTACACTTAGATGGAAGACAGCCTGACTTGTTAATTTGCTTACATAAATCTCAGATGAATGCTATGGGTTTGTGTAGATCAGATTTTTAAATTATATTTAGAATATAAAACAAGGCACTATGTAAATGTAGCTATTATTTTTTTCCATTTTTACTTTTTATCATTAGAAGGATAATATAACGTCTACTAATCATTTGTGAGAGCCCAATGTCTGTCACAGACCATGGCTAAGGGAAGAATCTGGATGACAAACATAAAAGTACAAACAACATGAAAAAAGAGTAAAAGAATATAATGCAGATGAATAAACTAGGACTTCAAAAATGTCATGGAAGTTATAGTTTTCTAATATATCATTAATTGGAAATAATTACATGAGAACTAGTTTGGTGCCTGGGATAAAGATACCAAGCTAGAACCTGAGCGACTATGAATTCTAGCCTCACCTTAACCATTAAACTAACTGGGTGACTCTCTGAGCCTTAGGAAGAAGACACTTCCAAAAATGTTGCTAAGAAAGCTGCAGGGATTTGCCAAGATAGTCACTAGGAATCAAGACTAATTTGAAGGCATATACACACAAAAACAATTAGCTATACTGTATACGGATAATCCTTATTTAGGAACCACTTACAGTTGCAATGATGATAAAAAACAACTTTATGACCAATTCTTGCATTTATGACCATTGCTAGTCTGTAAACAAAGCTGAATTAAGATAATAAACAATCATGGTTTTGTTAACTGGTCCCAAATACTTACAAATGAGGACTACCTACATATGTTACATTAAAAAACTAAAAGTCACTATTAAACTTGAGCTAAAAATCAATATAAGAAATCAGAGTCAATACAATTCACTAAATGGAATTATCTTAATTAGCTATAATAAATTCAATCCACACTAAGAATCTCTCATAATCCCTAAATATACATTTATGTGGATAAACCTACATTTTAGGTGTGGTACCAATTCATGTATTAGATCTAAGAATCTGTATCAGATTTAAGATACAAAATTATTCTAAATATCAAAGTATACTCCCAAAACATGATTAGCTATTCTTCCATTGAAGGGATGAGATAACCTTTCCAGTAAAAAATATATATAATATCTTGTAAAAGTTATCACATGTGGAGCTAATTCAACATAATTTGGGGGACATAAATTTTGGTATTTATAAGAATATTACAGATTGAAGTGAGAATTTGATTTTTAGATTTGTTTCATTCTAGTTAAGAATCATATAGCCAGCAAATATGAAAAAATGATCCAATCTGCTCATTACATTTCCAGCAATTTTTGAAAATGAATCCTTTATTTTTGCAATCAAAGTAAGGTAGTATATCAATAAAACATACTAATTTTTATGAATATATTTGCAGTAAATTTAATGCTCTTCTTCCACTGAAATTTTGATTGTTGCCATTTCTACTAGTGCATTCAAATCCTACATCAATTTAATCATACAATCTCTGACCTGTTCCAATGTTGAGTCATACTTCACCAGCAGTTTATAATTGAGGCCCAATGAACATTTCAAATTTTTAACATTATGCTGTATTATGAGCCACGGTGGTGCAGTGGTTAGAGTGCAGTATTGCAGGCTACTTATGCTACCTGCCGGCTGCCTGCAATTTAGCAGTTCAAATCTCACCAGGCTCAAGATAGATTCTGCCTTCCATTCTTCCAAGGTCGGTAAAATGAGGGCCCAGATTGTTGGGGGCAATATGCTGACTCTGACAGGGCTGTAAAAGCACTGTAAAGCAGTATATAAGTCTAAGTGCTATTGCTACAAATTAGAAGATATTGAGACTAATAGAATAAACTGGACCATTGTTATGTGTTTATCTAGACATAAACTCTATTTAAAGTAGTAATCAGTTAACAGAAAAACTACAAAAAATTAATTTCAGCAACCCTGCTCCAAAGCAGAAATTACTATATAATAACATGCTTATATCATTTCCTTTGCCTTTTAATATAAAGGTCAAGAGCCTTAAAGATTTTGTTCTTGGAAGTTCATTATATTTACATAAACCCTGATTAGCAGGGTTTATCTCCATTTGTGATACTTGAACTGTAAATAAATCAATTTCCCAACCTAGTTTATTAAACAACTCATGTGTGTGTAGATTTTTCCTTTAAGATTATGTTCAGGTAACCCTACTATACTACAGATCTTAGTTGTATATACAAATGTTCTTCCCAGCTTTTAACATATTGATTGAATTTAATTTGCTTCTTTTCTTCTATGTATTTTCATTTCCATGGTGGGTCATTTTCCCCCTTCTTTTTAATCAAAACTAAAAAAAAAAACTATCTTTTTTTTTCATCAGGAAATCCTTTCTGGATTTGGAAAGATTGGAGCTCTGGAAGAAATCAATGCCCTGAAGATTATCTATTCCGGCCTAAATTCATATAATATGAAAGATCATTAACTATTAAGTTAAAACACACACACACTTGCAAAAACCTTTAAAATTGGATAATCAGAAGAAATGTCCCCACCCCCAGTAAAAGGCTGTCCATTCTGGAATTGCTCTGAAGGTATTTTTTAAAAAAACAAACACATCCGAATTAAGTAACTATATACATGTGGCTCTACGTCTCTTGTACATACGAAATCATAATGCATGAACGTTTGAGGCGCCCCTTTCCACCAGCGCAAGATCAAGGGCACGTGCCCCTGGCCGTCGGTTGCCCCTCTTGCTACAAGAACACCTGGCGAAAGGGCAATTCCGTTTCTCCTGTTAGCCAATCGGCGGGAAAGGGCTCCGCAGCAGCAACTGCCATCTCTCCGCTGTCACCCACGGACGGGAGCCCACGGGCCCCTGTAGACCCCTTTGGCACCCTTTCGTAAGGCATCGCCCCCCGGCCTTCGCGTTCTCCGGCGCCGACAGAGAAATGACCCTCGTAGGCACATGTAGGGAAATCCTTCGCTTGCACGGAATAAAACCGTGAAGGTCAACTCGCCAGTCGCTGGGCAACAGGATTCTCGTTACCTGGGGGGAGTAGGCAGCAGGAACGCCGGCTCCAACCAGCCTCTGCGTGAAGCCGCCGAATTTGTAATACATGACGGGACCTCGGAACGACTCCCCCAAGCTACATGCGCGCTCCCGCTTCTCCAGCTTTGCAAGCAAGAAAGGAGCGGTTGCGACGCCTATGACAAAAAGACCTTTCTTGCGACTGGCTCCTTCTTGGACCTCTGTACCAAAAGTAGGGCCGACGCAGTGCCTGAAATGTCTTAACTCGGGGAGAAAAAAGCGAAATGAAACTAAAGACATTAGCAAACGGTATGAAAGGAATCGCATTGTGTAAGGACATAAATCATGCTGAAGTTAGCGGGGCCAGAGAAAAATGACATTTTCATCGGGCAATACTTTAGACAGCCTGAATTAAAAAAAAAAAAAAAAAGTATTGCGCCTGCGTAGTTCGGTCTGTATTGCCGGTCCGGAGAGGTAGTTACTGTAGGAAGTTATACGCAAGGGAAGTAGAAACGGTTGCCCTGGTTCCCTTTGCTAGTCCAGGTTGGTCCAGCTAGGTGGCAGCACATAGCTGACCTTGGCCGAAATACTGTGTGGGGTCAGTGCTATGCCGGGAGAGGAAATCTCAAGGATGTGTTAGACGCAAAGGATAGAAAAACAATCTTGGAAGAAAATAGTAGCAAACCACTTTAATACCTTTCCCAAGAAAATCACAAGGACATATCCATTAAGTCACCAGGAGCTGAGAATTAGACTTGAAGCAGGATAAAACTAAGAATTGCTCAAAGAAAAAACATTTAGTTTGTCACTCGTGCAAAAGCAAAAAAAGGTTGGCATCCACAGCCATTCTAATCCTTCTCTTTAGAAATGAAAATACATGGGTGAGTGCACCCCCTCTCCAATTTAAACATACTCTAAACATTATCTTATAATGCTGCATAGTCTGTTGCATTACATTACCCTATTACCCTATTATAGTACTATTATATGCCCAACTGAAAAGCATTAGATTGACAAAGAATGGAAGGGTGTGTACCAAGATTGCAGTGTAGTTTAGCTTTTATTTTAGTTATCAGTTTGTAGACAACAGTGTGATTCAAAAAAATTTACTACCAGTTCTGTGGGTGTGGCTTGGTGGGCATGGCAGGGGAAGGATACTGTAAAATCTTCAGTCAGAGGTGGTATTTGCCGGTTTTCCAAATTACTCAAAATTTCCACTACCAGTTCTCTAGAACTGGTCAGAACTGGTCAGAACCTGCTGAATACCACCTCTGGTGGACAACCTTAATAGTTAAAGTAACTCTAGGTGTCAAAACACTACATTTGAGACACTGTTTGATTTGCTTTTTTTCCTTCAAAGTACAGATTTAGGTAAAAGTAAAAACTTGGCTGAGATCAACTCTTGGTGACTTCTTTGAGACATCTCTGTAGTGTTTTTTTTTTGCAACAGTACTACTATCATTTCCAGTCCATGTGGTCATAACCTTATTGTTGGCCAAAGTGGCTGAAAATTATGGGAATTTTAGCCCAGATGGAGAGCACCTATTTTGGAAAGATTCAGATTGAATTGCCAAGAAATAATAGTGCCTTATATTTTGACTTTTGAACTTGAAACATTAAAGAAAAATCCATAAATATATTCTAATAAGATAAAAGTTTAATGACGTTTATTTCCAAGGACGTGGGCAGCAATATTGCCCTCTATTAAATTTAAACTACTGATAAAAGATGTGAAACAGTTAAGTCAATGGTTTTTCCAATGGTAAAACTGGAAATTAAGAAAGACCAAGAAAATGGAGATACATCAGAGGTGGTATTCAGCAAGTTCTGACCAGTTCTGGACAACCGATAGCGGAAATTTTGAGTAGTTTGGAGAACTGGAAAATACCACCTCTGACTGGAGATTTTACAGTATCCTTCCCCTGCCACACCCACCAAGCCACACCCACAGAACCAGTAGTAAAAAAAAATTTGAATCCCACCACAGATACGTATCTTGAAATTATGGATTTGGAGATGATTATTAAGAGCATCATGAGTGGCAAGAAGCGCCTATAAATCAGTCCTGGCAAAATAGAATATGATGGCTCCACTGAGGTAATGATTAACAAAGGGAAATTAATATACATTGTGCCTAAAATGCAAGTGGATGATAGGCAGGATAAGAGGAGGATAAAGTAGATTGACAGGTCCAAAGTCGAAAGAGCTATTTTCAACTTATTACTAAAGATAGATCAGGATGGCTGGTATTTGTCTATTCAGTCCTCAGATGGTGTACTGGGCTCAATGGCAATTAGTAACTAATAATATTTATATTAACTCTGTTAGGCATTTGAATTCACAATGAAGCAAATGAGGGGAAAAATAGATTGTTAGAACAACAATTTGAAATGAAACCCTGTTCCATATAAGATAGTGTGGAGGAAATTGAAATTGGCAATAATAATTTTAAAAAGAAACCAGAAAACTTAAAAGAAAGCATAGCCATTTCCATAACATGGACAGGAAAACTGAGTGGGTGCAACTGATCAGAAATTTGGGTCAGGGATGGTTTTCATTTAATATTTCCTTATAGTTCTGGTACTTCCTGATAGCACTCTCTGACAGAGGAGTGTATGGCTGTAACTCATTCCAAGTCCTCTGTAAAACTAAAATATCTTGCACACTGTTGAGGCCATGTGTCTGACTCATCTTTAGTTTTCTTACATGAACTGGGTTCAGATCAAGTCTGCTACTGATGTATACAAATGTAATGTTTTAATATGTTATTATATGTGTAAGAGTATTTATTTGTACATATACTTGTATCTTGCATTTGTCTTTTTAAAAAATGGAATAAGAGAACCACACAAAATTAGAATCTATTGTAATTATTGTTTTGAGACTATGAAATATAACCAGTGGTGCCAGTGATGGGATTCAATTTTTTTTACTATTGGTTCTGTGGGTGTGGCTTGGTGGGCGTGGCAGGGGAAGGATACTGTAAAATCTCCAGTCAGATGGTATTTGCCAGTTCTCCGAACTACTCAAAATTTCCGCTACTGGTTCTCCAGAACTGGTCAGAACCTGCTGAATACCACCTGAGTGGTGCCAAAAACAGCTTCACTTAGGTTATTGATTGCTGCAAAAACTCCCCAAAACATGTAGATGTTATATTGTACTTTATACTCCTCTGTTCATAAGCCTCAATATACTTCAGTGTGACTCTTGTAAATATTATTTGCTTTGCAAGCATATACATAAAAAATAAAAACTGAACACTATCCACATTCTTTATCTAAATAATCAGCTTCTGCAATTCTGACATATGTTGGCTTTGCACATATTTATTGCAGATAATTCACCAAAACAGTTTTTAGACCCTGCTCTAGTATTTTTAGGATATGTAAACTTCATTGCAACTAATTAGTAAGCTTCAGATAGTCGTGGAAAACTGAAACTGAAATGAGGAATGAGGAACAACAGATCCTGCTTTCCTCTAAGGCAGGGGTGTCAAATTCATATTGTCATGGCGTCGTCACATGATGTATCAGGATTTTTTTCCCCCTTTGCTAAACCGGGCAGGGGCGGGGCCAGCATGTGACACATCTGGTCCGCAGGCCATAAGTTTGACACCCATGCTCTAAGGCCTCATATTTGAATCTACCAATGAATGGATGAACACTGAGGTTTTCTGAAGCAACTAAAATGAAAGCTGATCTTCGTTCTTTTGAATGTGCAGGCTAGGAATGCCAGAGAGGAAGAGCTAAGCAAGCTCAATCCTCACATTAATTATGCAGGAATCCTATTAAAATACAAGCAGAGATTGTGTTGCTTCTGCCTCAGAGTAACTTTATATTTGGATTTTAAATGGTTTCCCCCTCTATTTGAGCAATGGACAGGTTAAAAATATGTTTCTCTTTTGGAAGGAAAATTTCAGTGCATAAAAACTTGCCAGGACAGAGATTTACTTAAAGTCTCGCAAATGTATTTATTTATTTATTTTATTTATTTGATTTGCCAATTGTTTACAAGATAATAAGTATAAGCGTATACATAGTTGTGAATACATGAAATGGGTACATATAAGAAAAATAAAAGAGTAAGAGAAACAATAGGACAGGGACGGTAGGCACGTTGGTGCGCTTATGCACGCCCCCTAACCATGTCATAACTAATGATATAATGCCCCCTAATAACTAATGCCCCCTAACTATTAACTATAACTAATATATATATATTATATATATAACTAATATATATAATATTATATATATAACTAATATAATATATAATATATATAACTAATGCCCCCTAACCATATCATAACCATGATATAGTTCTGTTCCTCAGTCACAGGGAACACCTCAGGGGCTACATTTAGAAAATGAAATTATGATGCAAGCTTGTTACTTTTTTTACATAATCATTTGTAAAAGGTTTCAAATTGAAAGTAAAATTATGTTTGCTGTTAATATGTCAAGCCAATTAGAGAAGAAGAAAAAATAATCCCACTAATGACATTCTGATTTAGGGGGGGAAAAGACAATATAGCACATCAGCCGCATGCAACAAGAAGTGAATTTTGTAAAAGTTGGCTTTCTATCATTTCAGGGGGACAAATGAGTTATAAAGCAGACTGCAGTAGAAAAACAGATGTGTTTAGTTGTTTGCTCAGAAACTGCATGACTCTGCTTTGCTTACACTGGTCTCACAAATTGTCGCGTCCGGCGCAGGAAGGAAGCTCGGAGTCAGTGACTGGTTTCAGCTCTTTATTGTGCTCCGGTTACAGCTTAGCATGGAAAGGAGAAACGGCGGCTTTTTATTTCCAAGCCGCGGCGGCCACGGCCAATGGCACCGCTTCGAATCTCCCGCGCTTAGTTCCACCAATCGCGGGAGATTCTTAACGGGCCAATCAGTGCGGCTCGCTCGACCAATCCGGTCGCCGCGCGCTTTAGCCAATCGCAGCGCGGGGTTTATGAGTATGTTAATTGACTGTACAGAACACCCCTCCCCTCTTGGTTCGGTCCTACGTAACGTAGTCCCGTAGGTAGGCGGGGCTTCGTACTTGCCTACTGGACCTGCGCAGGTTAGTTGTTGTTTGGCTCTCGACCGGTTCGGACGAGGCCTCTGTGTCTCTTGGTTTCGTCGATGGAAACGCCTGGAAGGTGTTGCCGGGCCTCTCGTTGCAGCTCCCTCCCGGTCTACCCGGGTCGGTCGAGCTGCGACTCTC